CCTACAGCTGCACGGTCCTATACGACGCGCTGAGGCCACGCTTCATCCACAGTGCGGACGTGGACGTGCTGTGTGAGCTCGTAGACATCGTGCACGCCGACCTGCTGCACCACCACTTGCCGCGGAGGGGGGAGTGGGTGGCAGCGCTGCGCCCCACCATTGCGCGGATACTCGCGGATCTCAGGCAGAGGCTGATTTTCCGAGCGCACACGTACATGCGCGATGAGGTGGGTTTGTTTGAGGCCACGGACAGGGAGTGGGTGCTGCTGCTGCGGCACTTTGCTCCCCTCCCCACCATTGCCCTCGCAGAAGCACTTCCCCCTGCTCTTCGCCCCCCCCCCACCCCCTCCCCCACCCCCTCTTCCTTTGCTTCTCCAATTACATGCCCAGCAGCAACAACGAACTTTTTGTTCATCTCCATCTCGTTTTCAAACTCTTCCGCCCTTTCCCCCGTCGGCCCTCTAGACCTCCAACTACGTGCCCACCAGTGACGACCTGGACTATCCAGGCAATCTGCAGCGAGCCGCTGCTAAGCCCAACCACCTATCCACCATGAGGACCAGCTGTTGTCCATTTTAACCGTACTCAAACCATCTGTATTGTTCGCTTTTCCCCCTCACCCCCCTTCCTTCCAGATCTCCAACTACGTGCCCACCAGTGACGACCTGGACTACCCAGGCAAGCTGCAGCGCGCTGCTGCTAAGTCTGCTGCTGCTGCCGCCGCTGCTGCTGCACAGGTGTGGGTTGTGTGGGGTGGGGTCGTGTGGTATGGTGTGTGGGGTGTGGGCATGGGGTGTGGGGCATGGGGTGTGGGCATGGGGTATCGGGTGTCCGTGCCACTCCTTTCCCGTAATACATATTGCTTTCCTCTCTTTCTATTCACTTCCTTCCCACGTTTCTCCTCTCCCTCTCCCTCCACCCAACAATCGCAACCGCTGCCTTCCTTACCCCTCCCTTCCCATCGTGAAAGGTACTCCTTTCCCTCAATACACCTTCGAGTTCTACTAATTCCCTGTGAGCGAGTTTGGGTGTTTTTACGAAATTCCTTTTTCTTTTTGTTTTTACCTTCCCTCCCAGGACGGTGACCAGCAGCAGCAGGAGCGGAGGAGCAAGGGGGGGACTCGTACGCAGGGTGGTACCCTACAATCACAACAAACTGCGGTGTTTCTTTCCCTTCCCTCCCAGGATGGTGACTCGCAGGCAGCAGGAGCGGAGGAGGAGCAAGGAGGGGACTCGTACGCAGGGTGGTACCCCCCTCTGGAGAGCACACTCGCGTGCCTGTCCAAGCTCTACCGCTGCGTGGATGCTGATATCTTCACAGGGCTTGCGCAGGTGAGGGTGAGGCGAGAGGGTGCAGGGTGAGAGTGAGGGTGAGGTGAGAATGGGTTGAGAGTTATGAGGTGCGGCAAGGCGAATCCCTTCTCTGGAGAGCACACTCGCATGCCTGTCCAAGCTCTACCGCTGTGTTGATGCTGATATCTTCACGGCTGGAGCAGGTGAGGGGAGGGAGGGGAGAGGGCGATGGTGAGAGTAAGGGTATGAATGAGGTGTGGCAAATGCGGATCCCCCTCCAGAGAGAGAGCACACTTGCGTGCCTCTCCAAGCTCTACCACTGCGTGGATGCTGATATCTTCACAGGGGTAGAGTGAGAGAGTGAGAGGAGAGGATGAGGGTGAAGTATGGCAAGTGCGGTTATCCCTCTGGAGCGACCAGTGGTGTGTGAGTTCTACCACTCTGTTGATGCGGATACCTTCACAGGGCTGGCGCAGGTGAGGGGGGGAGGAGAGTGAGGGGGCAATGAGGTGAGGGCGACGTGAGGCAAATGCAGATCTTTTTCTAGGGAGACCACTGGTGTGCCATGTGTACGTGAGCCTGGGGGGTAGCTGTTCCGCTCTAACGCGGAGTGGAGTGGATGCAGTGGAGATAGCTTCACAGGGCTGGCGCAGGTGAGGGAGAGGAGAGCGGGTGCGGTGAGAAAAAGCAAATCGGGTCCTTGGAGAGTCACGTGGTCTTGGTGTAAGCGTTTCTGTCATGTTACCTGTCGTTTTTGATACAGATAGAGGTCTTTGGGTCTTTTTTTTTTGTACGCGTTTCTAACTGCATCTGTGTGCTTTCTTGCTTCCCTGATTTATGTGACCTTTTTTTCACGTGTTTCCTTTCGTTTGTGCTGATATTACAGGAAGCAGTGGCAGTGTGCTCTGACTCTATTCAGGTAACACTGAAATCGGGTTACCACCAATTGGAGTTGCTGATTTATCATCATACCACCAACCAACTATCATCACACACGTACCTAGTCTCTTAGGTGACATTATATTCTTCTGATTTTTATCTCAGCTGTCATCACACGAGCAACTGTCACAGCGCTTGCACTCCATTCTCACATGCCTAATCATCGTTACATTCTCTCATTCAAACAAACGTCCCCGCTCCCTCTCGCTTTTCCCCCCGCCCTCCCTCTCTCTATTTCTCCCTCTCCCTCACTCGCCTCCCCCCCCCGGCTCTGTGAACAGCGAGCCAGCAAGGTGGTGGCACGCAAGGCAAGCCCCATGGATGGGCAGCTGTTCCTCATCAAGCACCTGCTCATTCTGCGAGAGCAGGTGCGTGTGTAGGAGGGTGGGAGTACAGGTATATGGAAGCGCACACGCACACGCAAATGGCTGCACGCAGATGTGCGTAGGGTGAGTCGCATGGACGGGCAGCTGTTCCTCATCAAGCATCTGCTCATTCTGCGAGAGCAGGTGCGTGTGTGTGGGTGGGAATGAAGGGGGGGCTATGCAGATGCACATGCACACACACATGCACACACACATGCACACATGCACACACACATGCACACATGCACACACACATGCACATGCACATGCACATGCACATGCACATGCATGCGCATGCATATGCACACACGCATGCGTGCAAGGCGAGCCATCCCGATGGGCAGCTGTTCCTCATCAAGCATCTGCCCATTCCCAGAGAGCAGGTGTGTGTGGGGTGGGGTGAAGGAATGGGAGGGGGAAAGGCCGTGAGGCGAAAGGTGCGGTTTCAAACACGTGTAAAGATGCGCGCACATGCAGTTGAAGCAAGCCCCATGGATTGGCAGCTGTTCTTATTGAAGCATGCGTGCGGCCTTTCTTGGGGAGCAGAGGGTGTGGACAGGGTGCGGGAAGAAGGGAGGGTTTTCCTGGGAGGGTGGGTAGGGTGGGGACACACGTGTGTGAATAAGAACACTCACAGAGAGTATACGCTACGCAGCCAGACACACACAAACACATACTACCAACCAGACACTGTTGCGCATGGGCGTCCACAAACAGTCATGCAGGTGTGCATTCACGTGCCTGCACTTATCCCATGGCAAAACTGTGTGTTCCTGTCCCAGTCTGTCCCTGTGTGTGCCTCTGTGTGTCTATGTGTGTGTGTGCGTGTCTGTACCTATGCAGATCGCCCTTTTGATGTGGATTTTGCAGTCACTGTGAAGGAACTAGACTTTGCACACACACTGGTACGCTCCTTCCCCATCGCCCTCCCTCGGTTTCTTACCACTCCTTTCCTCGCCACCCTCTTTTCCCTGCGACCCTCCTGTTTCCTTGCCGCTTCGCTTTTCCACCCCTGTGCTCTCCTCCCACCCTTTTTTTTCCTTCTCTCTCCTCCGCCTCTATCTCATCTTCTCACATCAGCCTCCGGTGCCCTCTCCTCGCCTACCGTCCCCTCCCCCTCTTCCCATTTTCTCCACCCACTTCTCTTCCCCCGCACCCCCTCCTCCCTTCCCCATGCTCCAGGATCACCTGACCATGAGTTCTGTGAGTCAAGGTCTCAAAAGCCTTCTCCAGTTCCGTCCCTCCCCTCCCCCCCTCACCTCTTCTTTCACCCACCCCATGACCCCCCTTCCGCCCTCCCCCTCGCTTCCTCTCTTTGCCAGGATCACCTGCGGCGAGTGCTGAGAGGCCAGGCATTGTTCCACACCCTCACTACCTGAGCCGTCTCAAACGCCTACTCCACTTCCGTCTCATCCCACATACTCCCTCTCTCCTCCCGCACCCCTCTCCCCCCCTGTGCCAGGATCACCTGCGGCGAGTGCTGAGAGAGAGAGGCCAGGCGTCCTTCCTCAGCCTCGCTGTCTGAGAAGTCTCAAACGCCCTCGTCTGCACCCCCTCCTCTGTCCCCCGTCCCCATCCTTCTTTCTCCCCCCGTTCCCCCCTTTCCCCCCTCTCCCCCCCTGCGCCAGGATCACCTGCGGCGAGTGCTGAGAGGCCAGGCGTCCTTCCTCAGCCTCACCTCAGGCGACTCTTTCCTGCGCTTCTCCCCCCGGGTCACCGAGAGCCACATCGACGCCAAAAAGGTATGGCTTGCTAGTGAGGATGTGTTGAGTCATGTGTCGTATTGATATGGTATTGCGAGTATGTCAAGTGGCGACTCCTTCCTGCGCTTCTCCCCCGGGTCACCGAGAGCCACATCGACGCCAAAAGGGTGCCGTATCTCCCCTTTTTCTTCCCTCCGCTGATTTCCCCCTCTCTCGTTCCTTCCCCGTGTACCCTATTCTCATATAATGTCGCATTGCACTATGTCATCAGTCTGCCAACCACCTGTCTTAAACGCTCAGTAACTCAACTTTCTTCTCCTCCCCTCCCCTCCAATCTCTGTGTGTGCACTGCCCGTGTGCCCCACCAGGAGCTGGAGAAGCTACTCAAGTCCACGTGTGAGCAACTCATAATGTGCTCTCTTCTCTTCTCCCCTCGCCTCTTTCCTCGCCCTTCCCCTGTCCTACCCTCTCTGTGACCTTTCACTGCCCCCTTATGCCTGACCAGGAGCTGGAGAAGCTACTCAAGTCCACGTGCGAGCAGCTGATTATGTCCGTCACCAAGCTCACTGTCGAGCCCATCCTCTCCTTTATCACCAAGGTGCCTCCTTGCTTGCTCTCCCTCCTTCACTCCCTCCTTCACTCCCTCACTCACTCCCTCCCTCCCTCCCTCCCTCACTCCTTCCCCCCCTCCGTGTGCAACCAATCATTTCCCTTCTTAAGCACGACAAAAGAAAACTGCCTTCTCTATTTTCGAATTGACTCAAAAGTAAACCACTCATAGAAATCTTGAAACCTCTTCTCTGTTGCCTTTCCCTGTGCCATCAGGTCACAGCAGTGCGTGTGTGCAGGGTCAGCTCTCGCTCTCAAGGCCCGGGGGGGGGATGCAGCAGCAGCAGGAGGAGGAGGGGGCGCATGCAGGGCAACGCCTGTTGAGGGAGCAAGCGTTTGCCTCACCAGAGAAGCTGGCGCAAGTGGTGAAACAGGTGAGTTGACTTGGTTGTTTAAACTTGTGATAAAAAAAAAAAAAAATGTTAGCCGTGCCAGAGGAGCTGCCTTAGGCAAGGAGGCTGGTGAGAGCATGGCCAAGGGAGGGAGAAGTGGTTGAAGCAGATTAAGCAGGTGAAGCAGTTGAATCAGGACAAATGTCTCCTACTGCTGCTCGCCCTGCCCCTTTATCTTTCTTTCCATCCACTACCTCCCCCCCACTCCCCCAACTCAGGTAAATGAGGTGCTCTCCCTCAAGGTGTCGCTCCTAGACGTGGTGGCCAATATGGCTCTCTACCCGCCGCACGCTGCTGCTGTTCGCGCCTCACGTGTTGCTCACTCCGCCTCGCTTGCCCCTCTTTCCCTCATCCTTCCGTCTCCCCACTCTCAGGTGGACGAGGCTCTCAAGGTGTCGCTGCCAGAGGTGGTGGCCAACATGGCCCTCTACCTACCATACGACCCTGCTGTTCGCTCCTCACAACTCTCTCCCTTCCATCCACCACCTCCCCTCCCCTGCTCCGCACCTTCTCAGGTGGACGAGGCTCTCAAGGTGTCGCTGCCAGAGGTGGTGGCCAACATGGCTCTCTTCTCTGCCTGCCTCTCCCTCACGCTGCTGCTCGCTCCTCACGCTGCTGCTCGCTCCTCACGCTGCTGCTCATTGTGCCTGTCTTTCTCAGGTGGACGAGGCTCTCAAGGTGTCGCTCCCAGAGGTGGTGGCCAACATGGCTCTCTACCTGCCACATGCCGCCACTCGCGCCATCCTCTTCCGGCCCATCAAGTACCCTTCCTACCTTTCCTCTTACCTTTCCACACGCCGCCACTCGCACCTCCCTTCTTTGCTTTTGGTCGCTCTCGCTCTCGTCTTTCCCTAGTTTCCCCACTCTTTCATCCAGTTTACCTTGTCCTCTCCTCGCTCTCTCCCTCCATATCTTCTCTCTCTCACTCTCTCTAGACTGGTCAACCGCACTCCAACTGTCCAGATTGTGTAATTGAACCTACACCTCTAGAGCCCATGAGAACTCGTGGGCTGTAGCTCTCTATCAGAGAAATGTTCCTTCTAATGTAAACCTCACAGCACTGGAGCGCGAGAGGCACATGCGCAGCTGCAGTCCCTTGTTGATTCAGAGTAGTCAGAGGAGGATAGGGCCGTGGTGAATTATTAAGGAAGTGCCTTACAAACCCTATCCCTGCCTTGCGTTTGCCCTGCCTTCCCTCGTGCCTGCAGGTCGAACATCCTGGAAGCACACGCGCAGCTGCAGTCACTGGTCGATTCAGAGTACACAGAGGAGGATAGGGCTGTGGTGGGTCTCATCTCCTCTGCTGACCTTGTCACCTTCCTTGATGGCCTCACCTGAACAAATGACAGGACCAGTGCTGATTGTGGGTTGGATGGTTGATTGCTCACTGCATGAAGCTACGCTGAACAATATTATATTTACCGGTACTTGAACAAAAATTGGTACCATGCTTTGTTGTTTGCGCAAGCACGTGCTTCCAGTTACGGGACTCAATAACCAAATTGTCTGCACAATATTGAATTTCCCGTGTGGCCAAACCTTGGCAAGCTGGTTGGGGGCAAGTGTCCTCTCTGAAAGCATATCATACCCTAAGCATTGTGTGAAGATTTGTTCTGCAGTGTAATAAACAGCGTTTGGTTGGTTACCCCACAGCAATGTCCAATAACATGCTACCGGTACCATCGTTTGTTGAAAATAACATGGTAAAATAAAAATTCAGCCCACCAATAATGAGTCCTGTACAAAGAGCATATAACCAGCCCACCAGCAACTAGATTAGGGAAGGACCTATTTATCTATCACGAAAAACTGAGGGGTCGAGGGAGAGGAGAGAACGAGGAATGTGGAAAGGGAGGGAAGGAGGTGAGGATAGGGGAGCAGAAACAGAAAGAGAGTGGCTAGCTAGCAAGCGAGCAAACGGGATTCTAGCAGATCTGATCTCATAAGATCTCATAAGATCCTATCAACGGCCGGCCTGGCATCATCTGATCCGGGGATCGCCTCCAAACAGCGGCAGTAGCACACTCTAGCAGATCTCAGAAGATCTCAGAAGATTCGTGCAGATATGCAGCAACGACGCACAGTGAGAGCAAGGCGATGCGAGGCGGACTTGATGCCTTCTCTCAACCGTGCTTTGCCTTGGCTTGTTTGAAGGGCGATCCACTCGGCACATGATGGCAGGCCCCCGTCAGTGGAAGAGTGAGTGTGAGGGTGCGTGTGTGAGTGAGTGGGTGTGTGAATGCGGGTGAGTGCGTGAATGAGTTTGTGAATGAGTACGGGGGAGTACGGGAATGAGCGCGAGAGACCCGGTGTGTGTGAGTGAGTGAGTGAGTGAGTGAGTGAGGAGTGCGAGAGAGAGAGTGAGCGAGTGGGTGAATGCGGAAGGTGAACCCGGTGTGCGACACGAATGGGACGAGGCAATGAGTGAGGAGGGAAACAAGTTTGAATGATTTGCATGGTTGAATGCTTTTGGTGACTGTGTGGACGAGTGAGTGAGTGAGTGAATGAGTGAGTGAGTGAGTGGATGGATGGAACCAAACCTCAGGAGAGTCAGAGCTGATCGTGTACTGTAAATCTCCCTCTCTTGGCATGACATGGCTCAGCTGATCAATGCAGTTGCCTTGCACATAGTTGCCTCGGATGCAGTTGCCTCGGATGCAGTTGCCTCGGATGCAGTTGCCTCGGATGCAGTTGCCTCGGATGCAGTTGGTTCGGGTGCAGTTGCCTCGAGTGCAGTTGACTCGCTAAAAGATGACCACAGCACACTCCAATGCCTTGAGGTTGAGGCAGCTCAGGCCTTACCATGCCCACAACGCCAGCATACGTCCGTCTCAGATGTTCCATCGCAGATGCTCCGTTTTGAGGCGCCTCAAAACTGGTTTATCTCAGACGCTCCACCTCAGACGCCCCATCTCAGATGTTCATGTTCCACATTGCCTCCGCCTCCTGCTGCCACGTGTCCCCCATGCCCATGTCATCCCCCATCAGCTCCATCACCAAAGGACCACCCTGCTCCACCCCTGGGTACCGCACTTCACCCATCCCCATACCCAAGCCCGCAACCGTGCCCATGCCCATGCCCGTCGCTGCTCCAATGCCCATGCCCATGCCCATGCTGCTCCCCATGCCCATGCCCACGCCCATGCCCATGGTGGGACCAATACTGAAGTTGCGCATGAAAGGGCTGAAGCTCCTCCTGGGAGACATGCCTGCCACTCCTGCCATGCCTGCCACGCCTGCTGCACCGCTGCTGATTCGCGGGCTCTGAGATGCCTCCCTTATGTTGCGATTGTTCATGCCCACGGTGGGAGCAGTGGCAGTAGGGGCAGCAGGGGCAGCAGGTGCAGCAGGGGCAGCTGCGGCAGCAGGGGTAGCACTGGCAGCGCCAACACCACCAGCTGTCAGGGTTGCCGTGCCTCCCTTGCTGCTGCTTCTGGTGGTGCTGCTGCTGGCACTGTTTCAATGGCAGGTGGTGGTGCTGCTTCTGCAGTACCACCAGCAGCAGCACCAGCATCAATAGCACCAGCAGCAGCACCACCAGCGCTTCGGCACATACTATCCTGCGAAGGCAGATCCACTTTCACATCCCGAATGATCTCCATTCCTCCACCCTTCACCTCCACTTCGTCTTTCCCATCCGCCTCTCCCTCTTCCCCACCCTCTCTCTCCTTCTCCCCCTCCTCTTTTGACTTGTGAGTCGACTCAAAAGCCCCCACACCGCTACCGCAGGTGTCCAAATGAAGCTCTGGAAACAGATGAGTGAGCTCTTCCTCCTTGCACCCGCCTCCTCCCTGCATCAATCTTCCCGGGTTCTCTGCAACTACGTTCAACCCGCGGCCGCTGCCAGTGTTAGCCTGTGAGAAATGGGACCACTCTGAAGCGGTACCAGCAGCAGCACCACCAGCAGCAGCACCACCAGCAGCAGCACCACCAGCAGCAGCACCACCACCAGCAGCACCAGCAGCAGCACCAGCAGCACCAGCAGCACCAGCAGCACCAGCAGCACCAGCAGCACCAGCACTGAGGGTGGCACTGGCGTTGACACCGGCACTGGCACTGCTCTGGCTCTCACTCCTGCTGCCGCTGCACCACCCGCTGCCGTTGCTGCTCGTCGTGCGGCCACTAGTGGTGTCACTGCTTGCACTCCTGCTGCGCACTCTTTGATACGCTCCCGCCATAGGGTTGCCATTGCTGTTGCTGTTGCCAAAAGTGTTGCTGTTGATGTTGGTGTTGGTGTTGCCACTGCTGTTGCCGTTGGTGGTTGCACTGGTGGGATCTATGGTCATGCTGATGTTGCCAGTGTATGCTGTCTCTTGCTGCTCATGTGCCTCCTGAAAAAGCTGCTGCTGCTGCTGCTGCTGCTGCTGCTGCTGAAACTGCTGTTCCTGCTGCACAAATAATTCTTGGCTTTCTTGCTTGCACAATTGCTGCTGCTGCTGCTGCATCACCATCTCCTGCTGCTGCTGTTGCTGAGCATAGTATGCTGCAGCGTCACCATCTGTACCAGCTACAGCAGCAGTGGAAAGCGCCTCCATAGCACCAGGCAGTGAATTGGCGGCAACAGCAGGGAAGGGAGCCTGGAAAGCACTGGCGTTACTCCACTCAAGCAGTTGATCCCCGGGAGAGGGAATAGCAGGACCGGGCACAGGAGTCGCAGCTTTGAGCAGGGGAGCCACAGCAACACCGGGCAGGGAAGCAGCAGCATTGGCTACATCTCCAATAGGGATTCCTGCACCAGCAGCATCAACAGCATCACCAGCAGCAGCAGCACCACCAGCAGCACCAGACATTAGCACCAGCATTAGCGGCAGCAGTAACATCCAAGCCAGGGGAAGTCACAGCAGCGTCGACAGCAGTATGGGTAACACAAGGCAGGCGAATCACCACATCAAAGGTGCCTGGAGCCATTGAAACTCCACCTACTGTCACTGCCTCTCCCTCTCCTGCTGCCCCTGCCCCTGCCCCTGCCCCTGCCCCTGCCCCTGCCCCTGCCTGTGCCACTGCCTGTGCCTGTTCCTCTGCCCCTGTCTCTAACTGTGTCTCTTCCGCCTTAGCTGCACCCACCAGTACTGGCGCTGCTGCCCCCACTGCTGCTCCGCCAGCCTCCACAGGCGCGGCCATTCCCCCAGGCATTCCGCCAGGCATTCCGCCAGGCATTCCGCCAGCCATTCCGTCAGCCACCCCGCCAGGAGCGGGGACAGCCCCAGCCGCGATTCCGCCTTCCCCCGCGCCCGCCACCCCGCCTCCCCCCGCCTCCAGCGCCGCCGCCGTGGCCGCCGCGCTGGGGCGAATCACGAGCCCCGCCGCGGCCGCCTCCGCGGCCTCCCAGACGATCTCGTCAGGTTTCAGTCCCAGCACGCGCGCAGCCTCCTTACTCGCGCGCAGCAGCGCTTCCGCCGTCGCGGACGGCAGCGGAACCGTCGCGAAGCTGTTCGGGAAGTTGAGACTCGCGCGCCGCCCGCGGAGCATGCGCGCGGCGGTGTCGTACGCGCGCGCCGCGTCTTCCGCCGTGTCGTACGACCCCAGCCAGATGCGCGAGCGCTTGCGCGGCTCGCGGATCTCCGACACCCACTTCCCCCAGCGCCGTTGCCGCACGCCCTTGTATTGCGGCGTGCGCTGAGTGAACGCGCAAGATCCGGGCGCGCCGGGCGCAGAAGACGCGATGCCCGCGGCGAACGGCGGGCGCGGGACGGAGGACATCGGCGACGTGGGGAACGGGGCGCGCGGGGAGATGGGGAGGGGGATCGAGACGCAGTGGGGCGGCGGCGGAGAGTGCTGCGGGAAAGCGCGCGCGAAGCCCGCGGGAAGGTACTGCGCTGCGCCTGCCGCGGAAATCGGGGCGGAAAGCGGCGAGAAGCCGTGGATGATGGGGTGATGCACGACGGTCTGCGACGCGGGCGACGTGGGCGACACGGGCGACATGGGCGACGACGGGAGCGCGCATGATGCGGCGGCGAGCGCGCCGACGGGCGACGTGGGGCTCTGCAGCGGCGGCAGATGCGACGTCGGCGTGTGCGGGAGCGCCGCCATGAATTCGCTCGGCGCGCCGAACACTCCCCCCCCCACAAGCTCACCCTCGTTATTATACCCGTCGGTATAATAGTAGTCGCTGCCGCCTGCGCTTGCGCCAGCGCCGGCGGCGGCGGGAAGCAGACCCTCCGCCGTTGTGATTACAGTGGGAGCGGGACGAATAAGGCCCGCGCCGCGCGCACCACCACGCGCGGAACCAGCTGCACCGGCACCACCGGCGCCACCGGCACCAGCAGCGGCTGCAGCAGCGGCAGCGGAAGATCCCCCGACGTGGTTTGCCCCGAGCCTGATCCTCTTGGTTGGCGGAAGCATTCCCGATGCCGCGCTGCTGTTGCTGCCCCCGCTGCCGCCGCCGCCGTTGGTTGTGGCCACGAGCGCTGCCAGCAGCAGGTGCAGCGCCGCGACCGTGCCGCTATCGGCGCCGGCAGTCGCGGCGTCGAAAGCGCTAGCAGCAAAGTTTCTCTTCTGCTGCAGTAGCTGCTGCTGCTGCGCCGTCTGCAGCTGCTGCCTCGGCGGTCGGACGTTCGTCCCCTCATAAAAGCCGTTCCGCGCCGCCGCACCCGGCGGGACCGGAGCTGGCACTGCCGCCGAAGCGCGCAGCGGAGGCGGCGACGCGCGGCTGCTGCTGCTGCTGCTCGGAGGGGTAGGCGCCACGGGGGTTGCGGCACTCGTATCAGCAGCAGCCACCATAGTAGTAGTAGTAGTAGAGTCTAGACCGAGATCTCGCCGGAGGCTCATAAATAAAGCCGCCTGTTCGTCCTCCCCCGGCGCCACCGTCGCCGGCGCCGAAGATTGCGACGGCGGTTGCTCGCGCTGCTGCAGATTGTTCGGCGGCGGACCTTGCGCCGCGAATCGCGCCGCGGAAGCCGTGGGCTGCCCTGGGATTGGATGATTATCCACTGCAGGAAGCATCCCCTGACTCGCCGCCGCCAATTGCGCTGGCGCCCGGGGCGGCGCCGGCGGCAACGGAGCAAGATGTTCCTGAGTCGGCTGCTGCTGCTGCTGCTGCTGCTGCTGCTGCTGCTGCTGCTGCTGCTGCTGCTGCTGCTGCTGCTGCTGCTGCTGCTGCTGCTGCTGCTGCTGCTGCTGCTGCTGCTGCTGCTGCTGCTGCTGCTTCTTGGCGAGTATGGAAGAGGCGAGGAGAGGTAAGAGGTTGCCGAGAGCACTCGCGGCTCGCTCCCTTACACTGGCAGTCGCGGCACCAGCACCACCACCAGCAGCAGCAGCACCAGCGGCGGTACTAGCTGCGGTAGCAGCAGCAGCAGCGGAATTCCATGACGATCCTCTCTGCTGCTCCTGATAAGCTTCCACCTGCTGCTGTTCCTGATACGCCTTCAGCTGCTGTTGCTCGTACCGCTGCTGCGCGGCCTGCTGCTGCGCCGCCAGATGCTGCTGCGCCTGCTGCTCCGCTTGCTGCTGCGCGTGCTGCGCCTGCTGCTCGTTCCGCCGCTGCTGCTGCTGCCGCAGCAGGGCCGCCTGCTGATGCTCAAAGTAGTTTCCGCCCCCAGCAGCAGCACCCGTCACTCCCGCTGGCATCGCCGCCAACATCCGCGCGTCAGCGCCCGCCATTCCGCCACCCTGTGCTTCCGCAGCCGCTGCCGCGAGTCCACCCCCGCCAACCATGGTACCATCACCGCCACCGCCGCCGCCACCACCACTTCCGCAGGGCACGGAATCAGATACGAATTGCTGATGCTGCTGCTGCAGCTGCTGCTGCTGGTGCTCGAAAGAGCTGTTCGGGTTGCTGTAATAAGTCGCTGCTTCGCCTGCTTCGACTCGCGCCATAACTGAGTCCCCGCCAATGGCGACGTCGACGGTTTGGTGATGCGCGCCGTCCCCAGCGTACGCCGGCTGCTGCTCCGTAGGATGCGTCGACGGCGGCAGCAATTCCCCGGCGGGAAAAAACGCGTAGTTATTGTTGTTATTATTGTCGTTATTACAGTTAAGATTGTAGTCTACAGCCGACAAGACCGCGGCGGCGCTGGCGTCAGCTTGCTGCAGTTCTTGGCCTGGTGCCGCCGCCGCCGCCGCCGACGGCGTGGGCGCCGCCGGCTGTCCGGCATGGGCATCAGCAATATGAGTCACCGCATGATGCTGAGTCGGACCGCAGACGGACCAGGGTTCTCCGGCCGGATCGCCTTCAGATGAGCCAATAGCTCCTTGAGATGAGCCGATAAGTATCTCCCCAGGTCGCTGCTCCAATACCGCCATGGTCGTGTCCATCCGAGGTGTCGCCGCGAGCTGCGGCGAGTTGCGGCTCGTCGCCGCAAATGCTCCGCTTTTCAGCTTAGTTTCACAGCGAATTCCCAAATCGCGTGCGGATTCCGCCGGGTGTGCCCCTAAGATTCATGTATTAGTATCGCACAGGGAAACACAGGGACTGTAACGAACGGCTGACGAACGGATAATCGCTGTCCGGTTGCCGCAGATTACGGCGAGAAATTATAAGTAGGCGAGAGCCACGCGGCACGATGCTGAGACTACAACTAGCACGGACACGAATTAGCCGACACCACAACTACGACTGCTACCTCTAATAAATTCGTGAGCTAGTTCTATGCTCGATTCGGGACACTGGCGAGAGGTCATGGAACGAGAACGAATTTTGAACGAAGCCTGAGAGCTTGTCTTTATGCTACGGGTAATAAGCATTTCCGCGCTGTCGGCGATGAGTGCTGGGGAATCGATACGCGAAGTGGGCAGAGCAAGCACGGCAGGGAGCAGGGCGACTTGTCGAGGTAGCCCGTGGGCTCTCGTCCAAGATCCGATCCTCGCAATCATCGGATGGGGACAGCTCTCCCCCCTCTCGCGCTTCCCCTTTCCGTTTCCCCCTCTCTCTCACACGCACTTTCTCTCGCGCTCCCCTCTCCTCTGTCGTTCTGCGGCTAAGCATTTCGTGACTTCGGGCGGGGTCCCCTCGCCTCGCAACAGGAGCGGGATGAACTATTTTTATCGCAGGACGCAGAACGCTACAGTAGTACTAGGAGCAGGGATCCTAGCTGTGGGTGTCTTGACTCTTGGGCCACCTTCACCACCTCCCCCCCGCTCCCGGCGCCGCTACCATTGCGGCACACCCTCTGCGCTCAAGCGTCCATGCGCGCATGCGCCCAAGATGCGCCGCTGGGAACATCTCGATGAGCAGATTTTGTCCCCCCTCCTTGCGTCCAGACCAGATCATTCCGCCGTGTCGCGTGGGACCATCGAGGCGGACGGGAAGCGTTGTGGGGCGGGGGATGGGTTGGGCTTCATTCATTTGTTTGTTCGCGAATCCAGCGCAACAAAAGACGGAAACGACTGTCTTGCAAAGAGAAGATGCGGCGCGGGTGCAAGGGAGAGATCCAAGAAACAGAAAAACGAGAAACGGAACCCTGTCATCCCACGCAAGGAAGCTCATCGCTGGTTTTCGCTGCTTGCACCATGCGCCAAGTTAGTTTGCGGGCAGCGGGTGGCATGAAAATGCGGGGAGGGAAGGGAATGCGGGGAAATTCTGCTGGCAGGGAAGGCAGGCAGGCCATGTGCGACAGGCAGAGGATGGGCGGTGGACATTGGAGCCGTTGCAATGTGCGAAGAGCCGCGCAAAGGCCAGCGAGTGCGCAGCATGGGCGAGCGGGCACTGTAGGCGGGAGCATGGCAGGGGGGTGACAAGGAGGGGAGGGGAGGTGATGGCGCGGGCGGGGAATCGCGCGTGACTGTGCGCGTGCGCGGGAGCTAATTGGCGCGTATTCTGCAGTTTGCAGTCACTCGCGGATCCAATCAAACAAGCTCGGATGCGGGAAGGAGTCGGGCAGGGAACCACGCGAAGTTTCTGGCGCAATTTAGTCCGCAACTTGAAACTACTAGTATCCACTTAGCCTGCCCAACACGTATTCACTGGTAAAAAACCCACTCACGATTTGCTCTTCATGTCGGTTTATTCAGCAGGTTATTCCGCTATGTTCCACGAAATCAATTTAACTATGGAAGTTTAGGAACAAAAACCGTTCCATTTCCGAAGAAGCACGAGTGAAGTTGTCGGCGGTGGCTGCCTGATCGAGAGAAAACGACCCGAATGAAAGTCGGAGGGTGCTTCTTGTGAGCATGGAGCCAAAATAAGGCTTGTTGGACATCGCGGCACACTCAAACGGAGACAGGCACACCAGCAATGCCAATGCTTGTAACGCCGCCAAAATTACAGCCACTCGACAAAACTCCACCACCGACACTCTGACCAGCAGCACAAATTATTGATTCAGTAACTTGGTCAGATGTCAGGTCTCAGAATGTGTACACGGGGCTTCGACGTCCAGCACGCACTTGGTTGAGGTACTTACAAATCGTGCTAACAACCTCTTGAAACTACGCCCAATTTTCCCACGCCCCGTCGAACTGGTCGATCTCCCACTCTCCACTCCCTCAATTCGCCTTCATCAGATTCACATGACTGAGATATATTTACACCCACAAATCACCATCTCAGTTTCCCTGCTCCGGCATTTGCCTGATATTGAAAACGAATTACCCTCTGTTGAACGTAACGGGCCGCCCGTGGGATCCACCTCTTCGAGAACGCTTGACTGCAAAGCTCTTGTCCAGCAGCATGTTTGCGGCAACGACTTTCCGTCAACGTAAGGGTCACCGTGAAGAGCTGACCTTGTCAACTCTTAGTAACAGCATGTAACCTTCAATGGCCG